TTACATTTGACATGGACCCACGCTACTTAGTTGCTTACCTGGACTACGTTGGGCTTTTGCTATAAGTGATAGTCTATATCCTGTATCTTGGCTATGGTATGGCCTGTATCCACCAACTTGACCATGTTGTGAAATACCTGGTGGATAGGAAGTCTACCATAGCTACTAGTATTTATTTCAATGATATTTATTTTACAATGACAGGCCAAATTTATTATCATGTTTACCCACATTGCTACGTAGACTTGTGTAATGGTCACTGAGAAGCTTGCCTTAGTTTTCTTGCGCAACATTTTACCGAAGAACATTCCAAACCGAGTCTGCGTCTTGCAGCTACTTTTTTCCTGTGACTAGCAATATGAAACGCACATGACTCTTAGTACACGGTGCATTTCAAGTCCCGTTATTCAGTTTCGGCCATTTTCTCGAATACCGTCATTTGGGGGTATACGGGGTCGACTATAAAACCATCGATGTTGTTTCATAGTATATATTTTCAGTGTCATGCTTTACGCACGTTGTACATAGTGAAGATGCTACGCACACGCTACATCAATACCCTCAATGTTTTTGCTATTCTATAACATTATGCGTTGCTATCTAAGTAAAAGAAACATGCCTCACGCGGCTACCGCATTATTTACATCAGGACATCTCTTGGCCTTGACGCTGATGCCTGTCATCTTGTCCTCAACGTCTTCCGGCAGGCTCTAACTTGCGCAGAAATCCTTCATATCTGTGGGATCGTAGTCATCTGGTTCTCTTACGTGACTGTTGGCATCCAATTTGCTCGATGGCTGCCCCGATTTTACGCTCCTATCTTCTGTCTTACTTCGCCTAACCTGTCCCATATGTTAATCTAGCATCTTTTTCTGGACTTCGTTGTCTCATGTTTCAGCGCAGTTACTAGAACCATTACCATCTTTGTCAGCTGAGTTCGCTGCCGAAAACAGTTTCCAAATCAGAAAATTCTGATTTCAAAATCCAAGTTTTTAGCCGTAACGAACCCTCGCAACTGAAAAATTTCTGCGGTTTCACTTTCGTTGTGGCCAGAGCGCTGGCTGCCAAAAACTTGCCATTTTGTTAAATATAACGTGACTGCAGCTGAGTGTCACGCATGCTTCCAGGATGAAGTGTTAACTGGATAATCTGAGCACATATGTGGGAAGAGATCAAGGACATAGCAATAAGATGTTGGTTCGTGAACATTACTTGTGAACAGTCAGTGGCTGCCCCCCCCCCCCCCCTTCTGCTCTTTTATGAAGAAGACTGGTAAATGTTCTTATTGAGGGAGTGGTCCACTGATATTATACATTATAACGAGACAACATGAAAATTTACCCAGTGCAGCCCTGTTTCAGTGTAAAGAAATATCCCATGCATATTTACCTTACCTTGCAGCATCTCCATATGTTGTGAGAGCAAAGGATTGTAAATGGGCATCAAGAGCAACAAAGCTATTTCATCGGAGTTCCATGCAGTGTAACTTAAAAGCAAAAGCTGGTCGAAAGTATGCAGGCAAGCTGAACTTCATTAGACTTGAGTCTCGCGTGGCAAGGGCACTGGTGACGACTATCAGAATCCGCGCCAATGCGCCTCTCGTCCCCAAAGCTGCCGTGAAAGTCTAAGGTCTTAGCCTCTTTCTCCCGTGGGAACAATGCACGGGTGGGGTGCAGTATTAAATATGCATGAGGCAAAATCTAACAGAAGACCATCCATACTCCATATGTATGAAGACTGTGACTGATAACGGCCTTCGTCAGCCCGGTGGCAGTCTGGAGACTGAAAGCTGCGATTGGTGTTTTACCCTCTCGAAAAGCTACAATTAGCCGTCTTGTGTCCCAAAATCGGCGTGTTCACACGTCACCGTCCATACATCACGTGACCCCTCCCTCCCCAACATCAGGGCACCCTCGGCATGTGCGACCGAGAGAACCCGGCCGGTATGTCCAGTCTCATAGCCCGAGAGCTCTCTGTACAGGTCGAGTTGTGTGTTTGTGACGCGTCTGCGGGCGGTCACCCGTGGGCAAATCTCCAGCGCTGCTCTTCGCTGCATCCCGCTGAATAGTGGCATCGACCGCACGAAACGTATCAGCAGCAGTAGTATTGCAGCGATTTAGGTAACGGAACGGACACCCAGAATTTGTCACGCAACATGCTCCTAACTAAGCACTGTGCAGCGTATCTAGAAAGACGTGACGTTTTTAAATAGGTGGTATGAACTTGATCTCACGAGAATATGCACCAGACTGTTATCGGTGAGGCTGCACGACGTGGAGGAGAATTCGCCAGCTCACCACAAATGCAACCAGCTTGCGTTTGAAAAACTATATCGTGCTTGCGCACAAGGTGAAGCAAAACAAATCTGAAAATGAGGGAAGGTTCTTCACATTCGCAAAAGCGATGACCAGCTAGCTCGGCGGATGTGTTCATTGGCATATTTCCAATTCGCGGTAGCCGTTGGTGGAGCTATTTAGGCGCACAAATCAATCATATCATCGGAGATGTTGTTATGATCTCTCGAAACGACCTTGCATAGCTTTACGATTGCATCCAGTTTGACAGGAAAATTACGGTACTGTGCGAGACTCAGACCCCGTGCAGCGTCATGCTCTCCTACTTCGAAATCGCCGGAGCTTATTTTGAACGGCGTACTGAACGAGGACACCGATGATTCTGGTGCGGCTACTCGGGGCCACGTGAACCGCATTCAGGACGCACACTTCAATTGCCTAGCAGTTTTGATTATATCGTGCTTAAATGCTTTAACCTGCAACGCGCGTGATCTAGAATGCTTCTGAACCGTTCGCTCCGTCCCATTCCTTCTTTGCCTGTGTTGTGTCTAAATGCTGGCACTCGTTCGTTGCCACGCGTCATTAACCACAAGTGGAAGGAGACCGGGATCGCGTGTTACAGGGCACTCGTGCACCGTGGCGCAGTTTGGAGTCGTCGCCGCATTCTCGTGTGCTAACATGACCCTCGATCTGCATCAGATGCGGCGTATCGGGTGTCACGGAATGTTACTTGATGCCTTCTGCTAGGACGACGCTGCTGCCCGGCTGCCATCCAGCGTCGTTCAACAAACATTGGTGCCCAGATGACCCACCTGTTCTTGTATTTTTTATTTGAACGATGTTTACTGCGAATGATGCCCGCTTTAGTGCGTGTGTATTACGAGGCACTGAAAGACTGTCCTCCAACGCAATGGTCGATCAATGGCGTGGCACGTAGCGTTTAGGGTAGTGACGGGACCAAAATCACTGACTGGCTCAAGGTCTGACATACGACATCATCAGTCATGTGTCTGAAAACATTATTTACAACATCCTCCGTCACTCCTTTCGGCGACCCCGCGGCAGTGATCGTTCGTTGACCCTGCTGACGGGTTTGCTGACAGCAAGTTAGAAGATTTGTACTTTAAGTACAGGTTCAATGTTGTTTGGGCTGGAAGTGTACAGGACGCACTCTAGGTGTAATGCTGAGTTCTTGCAAAGGGCCTGGTTGATTCGATAAGTTTAAACGTTAGCTCCGTAGTTACGTGTGCACATTTCGACGTATTATTAGCATACGATGGACCTGATGGCGTAGAATTACGATAAGCGCCAAGAGATGCTGTTATTGCATGTGATTGAGAACGTATGTTGCCCTAGTCGATTATGTTTACCATTTCCAGTTTTAATCCTTATATCAGTGCTGCTAGGCAGACATGTACATGGATCTCAAGAATGGACGCATAGTATCATAGGGTTATATGTTGGTGGGATCCTCAGATGGGATCCTGAGATCTCGTAAGGTCTCCAGGCACATTTCTTCTACTAGGTATTGCCGTAAATAGTTCGTAAAGCTCTTGAAGTGCATTTTTGGGGTAGTCTTAATTGATATATCTAGATCGATCAATGCGCTCGTTCCAGGATTTCTGCGCGCGCCCGAGGTCTGTTATTATTCTGCGGAGACAAATATGTTTTGCTAGCCAAGGGACGCTTAGCTTACATGACGCCTCGCTGGACCATCTGCTACGTGGTTCCTGCGGCATTCCGATGACCGCAGTGCCGACTCCTCGTGCATCATGTTCCCCACATTCATCCGCCAGTCTGCTGCCGTTGGCCGGTCCACATTCCCGTCGCCCTCAGCGCGTGCATTTCCCATGCCGGCGACGCAGTGTCCGCCCGCTCCCATGACCGGCGTCCGTCCGCGCGTCGCCCGGATCCGCTGCGGACACGGCCGGGCGGACGGCCGGCCCGTAAATCCCGGCTCCCAATCAGTGTCGCCCGGTATAAAGGCCGACACCCCTGCAAAACCGACACGGCCAGATGGACGGCGATGTCCGTCGTCGGGCGCCGTGTGTGCTGGGCATGTTTTGCGCCGGTCCCAGATGGGTCCCGATAGCCCCGCCAGCCCCGCCGTCGCCTCGCCGGGCAGGCGGACCCCTTCCCCGTCCGGCGAGTCGCAGGGGAAGGGGGCCGTTGCCGAATGGCTGGAGGGGGGGGGGGGGGGGTCGGTGGCCAGCAGGGCGGCGCTGAGCGCTTTATGGGCAACGGAAGCGGCGGGTGGGCGAGCGGCGGATACGTTTGACACGCTGCTTGGAGGACATTTTGTGCGCCGGGTGTCCGTCGTCGGCGAGTGGGGGAGGAGGGGAGGGGGGGGGGGGGGCACGCTGTCAACATTGAGCAGATGCTCCCCTCGGACCGGCCGTCGCTGGCGGGAGCCTGCGAAGGCTGCAAGCGCTGAATATCTCCTGGGCGTGGGGCACTGTCTCGCAGGGGTGGCGCGCTGCCAGCGCCGTAGCGGTCATGGGGAGGACAGCTGTGGGAACCGATCTGTGTAACTTGTCTCGATTCGTACACATGGCCGAATGATGCACAGATGTGGCGTGGGGTTTACGAGCCAGCGTGCACCGATGACCTTTGCCCCCGACGCCGGCCGGTTGGCCGGCCTGTTTCGGCGGTGTTTGTACTCGTGTCGTCGACGGACCGCCGCTGACACTGTCCGTGTCTTTCCAGACCGGAAACGGGGACGGCAAACATACACGAGGTACCAGACCCTGGAGCTGGAGAAGGAGTTCCACTTCAACCGCTACCTGACGCGCCGGCGGCGGATAGAGATCGCGCACGCGCTCTGCCTCACCGAGCGGCAAATCAAGATCTGGTTCCAGAACCGGCGCATGAAGTGGAAAAAGGAGAACAAGAGCCAGGACAGTTCTGTGAAGGGTGGTGGCGCGCGCTCCGAGACGGAAACGTCGCCCGGGGACCCTTAGTGCGCCGCCGTCGCGTCGTCATCCGTTAGTCCTTATTTATTTATTGTTGGAGGACGTTGTGCGCGCGCGCGCGTGCGCGAGCGCCCGTGAGCCGGCGCAGGACTCAGTGATACTCGACTCTTCATTTGTATGCGTGTCGGCCGCGGCCGGAGTGAGCTCAACGGCCCGGATTTATGGCCGCCGGCGGTGCGGCGCCGGCGCCGGCGGGCCACCAGAGCGTCGTCCGGCCCCCCGTCTGCACGCTCCGCACGGCGGCTGGTGGCATGCACGGTGCACACACACATATACACAGACACAGACCGACACACAAACACACGAGGCAGCACACGTACACGCCCGGTTGCAGTCCTGCAGCCCTCCGCTGAGGGCTAAAGTCACCCGAAATCTTTTGTATAGACGCCAAACGCAAAGCATCTGCATTTTATATAGGGAGAGCTCTGAGTTGCCCACCTTGCGATGACCCTTTAGGTTTGGTTGACCCCGCCTCGGCCTGGCTGAGGCGGCCTTGACCTGACCTGCCTTTGACAAGCGGCGGCGACTCCTGACGAGGGGAAGCGTCGGCCGACCATGTGTAGGACATGCAGTATTTGTAGGCTAAACCTATGTCTGAGACGTGTGTGTGATCGTGCTTCGGCGTTTTTTTGTACGAAAAAAATACGTAACACGCGAGACCGCTTAGCGTGGACTGAAACGAAATACGTAATTTACCTAAAGTATACGTAAAGTTTCCATCCTAACATTGTAGTGTGTAAGGAAATGAGACTGGCAACTGACGCATCATTCATTGTTGAATAGGATATCACCTATACTTTTGGTCATTTTCTTTTCACTTGTTTTCATTGAGAAAGCGTGATCCTAAGTTGCAGAATGTTTATTATTAGCATGCTGTGCACACAATCAAAAGGCGTTTTGTCCAAAGTTGACTACATTGTCCAGCGGTTCTATAGTGATTTAGCCGTTATTTTTTGTGCTCGTCGGTCGCTGCGTTGTGCAATTTCCTGCTTTTGCATCGGGACCCCGAAGGCCCCTGGCGCCTGGAATACGTAATCAAGTGCTATGTGCGTCGTCACTGTAAATACGGTGTACCGATAAGTGGTAAACAGACTAAGTTGTGTAGATCACAGCGATTCAGCACACCCGCTCATCGGTAGAATTCAGTCAGGCAACTTTAATTCGAAAGAATGATCTCGAAAAAGTTTGATGATTGTACTTATGAGTTGTCAGCGGGGCGAGCGTTCTCAAGCGGGGCGTGTCTGCGGCTCACCAGCAACTTCAATACGTAACGCGGATACCTTTTGGCGCGGTGTGGTCGTTTTACAGTGAGCACGTTCTGGACCTACGTTGTACGTAACAGTTAGTACAAGACGCTGTAGGCAACAAGCCCTCCTGGTAACTCTAGCCCCTCCCCGACTCTGTAGTGACGCCGCTGTCGTGTTGTGGTCCATATATTTTCAACACCGGGAGTGCATGAAACGATGTGGAAATTTGTGTTAGTGGACTTATCAATGTCTCTCTCCCTCTCTCTTTATCCCGTCTATCTCGTGTCCGTGCTTTATTTTTCAAGTGACTGTTCGCGTGCAGGGCAGAACATGTCTGTAATCGAACCGTTTGGTTTTAAGGTTCCGCAGCATTGAGAAGCGTCTCAAGAATAGCTTCACGGTTATCATTAATTTGTAGTGTGCCACAACCTCTGTGTACATAGCCTTCATTCTAATCGATATAGCAAAATGAAATAATGTTGTTTTTTATTGGCTGTGCGGTACGACCCAAAGACGAACTGTCGCCCGAACTGAATAACAGCTGACCAGAGGCTAGTCCTCTGGTTAAATGCACGCGACATACTGGGTAAGTTACTTGACAGCCTCGTGTTTTGTTATGTTGGGCTATCTTCTTCAGAGTGGAATTAAATCCGTGTTTTCCTGAATGATGACTTAGCTTTTTTGGAGCGGAATTCACCTCTAAAACATTTTGTGTTGAAATGGTTGTGCCGTGAAGTTTGCTTAACATAAACGTTCACTTAAACCTGGAGTCGGGTCTAGGCAAATTCAAGATTCATGTTATGTTATCATGTTTATGTAGTGCACAGTTCATAAGGCTACGAATGTTGTCCATGGTGTCGTAAGGCATCGCTAAGCGTATGTGCATTGGTCGCCTACGTTGGCATCGGCCGCAGCGCTGGCTTGCCGAGTCGGTAAACTCGCGCCTCTGTTTCCAGCCGCTGTCGCCTGGTCCGGCACTTCGGGACTCCGGAGCCCCACCAACCGGCTCACCCCCTCGGCCAACAGCTGATTGGACCCTCTTTCTGAAGGTCGCCGCATAATTAGTCAGTTCCCATGACAACGGGCCGAGGGGTCGGCCGCGGCGGGGCTAGGGTGGGGCCACGGGCCGTGGGAGTTATGGCCTCCGCGGGGCTCGGGAGTCCACGGCGCGCGGTGAGCGACAACGTGCGAACGGAGCCGGCGCGTCGGAGCGCGTACTGTTGATGCAAGAAAGTCGGTTGATGTGCGGCCGATATGGTCTGACATCTAGCGACCGACGGCCGAAGGTGCGTGCTGCACCTCCGCACGCACGAAGGCTGTTTGCAGGCAAAGTTTGCCTAACTTTTAGGCGATGAACCAGTGCTATACTGCTGGTTATACAGCCAACCCAAGCCGAAACATGGCGCGAACACATGCGTGGGATTTGCGAGAAATTGCGCTTACCTCTCACTCAAGAGTGCCAAGGATGAGTTCAGCATATTGCACTCATTCAAGTCGACGTACCATTCGCGGAAAAGCGGATGCAGCTGCCCCAAAGGCAAGGCTGTGTATTATTGTACTGTACCAGTTATGTTCAGGCTTGTCTCTGCAACCAGCACTGCTAACTCAATACTGCAGTAAAAAGTCACATAAAGAGTGCTGAACACGCATAAGCAAACAACAGCATGGCCATCACCATGCACGCGTACCGCGTACGCCACGTACATCACCCCACATTGTTGCAATTGTCGTCAAACTTGGGCCAGGTTGAAGAATGACATTGGGTGCCGGCTGTTGTCAGTACCATAGCTTTGGTGTTGAAAGTGACTCTAACCTCAAACCACAGAACAAAAGAGGCGTAGTTGCATGGTTGAGTTTGCATGTTTCAATTTCAATTTCTCTCACCCGGGGTTAATTGAGAACATTGACTTCTGACTTCAGGTGATTCGACCGCATTGTCCCGGGAACTAGTCAAGAGCCCGGGAATGGGGCAACCAGATTGTTCCTTTCGTGCACCACAGTAGAATTAACGTTGAATTTCGCGAGATTAAGGTGATGTCAACCATGGGTGCTATCAGGCCTCTGAGATTTGAGGGAGGGGGAACCAAAGTTCGTGGTCAAACTAAGATTTGGAGAGGACAACTCGAACTAAAAATGTCATTTTGAATGCAAAAAGCGTGCATTTTATGGACAAAATGGGAGGAGAAAATATCGTAGTTTGGAAACATTTGAGGGACATCTCCTCCGGCCCCTCCCCCCCTCCCCTCCGTCGTTGCAACCATGTCGGCCACTGGCCCCTTGCCTGTTCCTGCGCCAGTGTTCCTGCAAAGGTTATTTTGCATTGGATTTTGGAGACAGGCGCGCGGGGTTTACGCGTCACTTAACAGATAGTGGGGGCGTGCTCCCAGTAATACTTGTTGCAATCATTCCACTAATGCTGAATGTACAGAACATTAAAGCCTGTTAAATGGACGAAACGCATTTGACTGCTCTACAACATATCCAGCTTATCGAACAGGCACATCGGAAAATACATATTTCGTCTGTTTAGTTCGAGGTTACTAGGCTTCCTTGTTCCAAACCATCTTTTGTTCTGCACAGCCAATCACTTAGTTTCACGTTGTATATTATCCAACTAGGAATTTTCATTCACTTAACGTCTTCAATATGTTTTTCACCATTTTTGCGCTGTATGAAGAAACGCCAAAACTCTGAACAAACGCCAACAAACATTTACAAATGTCTGGAAATGATGTCGCTTCGCTTTGCTATGTAAACCGGGTACAGCACGTTCAGTGAATCAGGATGCGCCAGGAGCACATCAGGGTACAGCATGTCCAGTGAATCAGGGTGTGCCAGGGCACATCAGGCTATTCGAATGACAATTAAATATGTCATGGTCCTTACTACCACGGTGCCTTTGGACGCATGGTGAGCAAGCCAGAATCGAAGTAAGAATCGAAGCCAGAGGCGAACGTATCGTGATCGCACGGCAAAATACAAAGTCCATAATCCATAAACCCTTCACAAAATCGTGATTATCTTCATGACATGAGAACCGCTTTCATGCAGCAATAATTTCCCTGACGCCCGCCAGACAAACGCTGCGTGTATCATTTAAGAAACGGAGTTGAGATTGCGAATGCAGGTTTAATTTGCATTGTTCAAAGTCAATACTAAGTGTGGCGTTGAGATCTACCCTACTGATCCTCATCAATACGGAGCGGGTAAATTCAATAGCACATCAGTGATTTGCATTATGCAACGTCGCACTAAAAAAGATCCGTGTGCATTACCAATGTGAAATGAAACAACTTATTTGCCCTGGCTTAAACCTCAAAAGATGACGCGACCCACCAGTCAGATGCCATCCTCTTATGTCTATGGACAACATTAAGCCTGCCAAAGGCATTTGTTGGGGGGGGGGGAGGGGGGAAAGTGCTCGTCCAAGCACAAAGTCCTACCAGCTGTTCCTACAAAGCTTTGGAGCCGTTTCGTGGTTCACTGGCAACAGTGCCTTAGCGCCCTGAGAGTAAGACTCTCAGTTAGGGAAAAACTAACATAGTACCGAGAGGAGTATTAGGCTTTTACCTGGACACGGCTCAGTCCCCAGACAAGGCACAGCAAACAGCCCGGTATGATTGTCCACCACAAGTGATGGTTCAGCCGTCGGATGCAGCACATTGTCACGCTGACTTCTGTGTGGATTTCAACCCCGCACATTCGATGTCTGGCGTTACACAAAGGACGGTTCCGAGTTCCTTTCTCATTGGGGAATGAAGTGATACTCATGTACGTTGTTTGGTGGTCTCTTTGTTTCCTATTCAATTGTTTCAATGGAGAGACAGATATTGGGCTGTCAAACATTTCTAGCCATACGGTCTTAATGGTTATGCAAGATTTCAGTCAAAGGAACGTGGCTAAATCAGCGGTTTCGACAAAAATGAAATGTTTTGGTCATGTAGCAAACATGATGCAAGCAATATCGTATAATAGGCAATAGCTTCGGCACTAAACACCACCCTCCACCACTTCACGTGTCGGCCGCAGTGCCAGGTAGGCTTGCGCTACCATCGAATCACTTTTATGTTTGGACATTTAAGTGCTCGATGTGCATCATGGCGGTTAACGGCTTAGCCATAGTTTGAAATTCAAAGGAAAACAATACTTTGTTCTATAAGGCGTCTTAACCAATCTATTTTGCGCTCTGTGGGAATCATCGAATATTATTGATTTGGTGGTAAATATGCCGAGAATATTGGTTGCATTAATATGTTGCTTTAGCAATGACCCATGCAAAAGACAATTTCACATCAATCGCCTACACCTCGGTAATCGGTGTTACGAATGCATGTGTCAAGGTATGTGTGTCAGATTGCACTTTCGTAATTCTACCATGTCGTGAGGACTTCAACACCATAATGGATTTTACCATATTTTATAACTTGTGTGTACTGAAAAACATATAGCATGAGTACAGGAAGTAAAAACAGAACAGCAGCAAAATACAGATAGCAATGTAGGAAGCAGATAAAGATAGCACCACAGCATAAAATGCACAATATCTCCAGATATGTTAGGGAGGCTTTCTTTGGTAAAGGCACAGCTCAAAAATAGCAATTCTTACCTTGAGCATAGTGCCATAATTTCCAGCAGCGAGAATTTCCGATATACGCAATGAGTCAGCCGTAAATTTCCGCAACTTTCTTTGCCGTTGACATCAGTTCAAGCGGCAAAGTGCAACGCCACATGGTGATAAACAAGCAGTGTTCTATTTCCATTTTCCTCGCTGTTGCACGCAGGCTGAGAATTATCATATAATGATTATTTGTGCGCGTGGAGAATGCGTCGAATAGCTGGTGTCGCAGAGCTGCCCTGTGGAGCATGTTACAATGATCATTTCAATGAAAACTGGTGTCGCCGCTGGCAGGTCTGCATATATATATATATATATATATATATATATATATATATATATATATATTGTTGGTTGTGCACCACGGCCAATTCCGCGTTTACAGCTTTCTGTGCGCTTGCTCAAGGCTTCGTACGTTTGGCGTTGCCGGTGGTGAACAACCGACCAAGAAGGTCATGAACGCGGAATTTACTGTGTACGACCAACAGTGTATAAGAATAAACCTGATCCCGAAGTATAAAAAATGCATATATATATATATATATATATATATATCTACATATATTTACACATTTGATTTCTTCCACGACCACATCAGTTGAGATTTATACGTGTCGTATATGCCAGCTGTTGCGTGCAAGGCCATTCGCATCCCTGTCATCAGTTATCACGAAAGCTCGCTGTATTCGCCACACATTTTCACGTGGTAAGGATATCTCGTATCATGGTGACAGACACCGATTCGTCAAACTTCCGCCCATCCAGCGGGCCCCGCCCCACCAGCTGCCGCCCCCGCCACACCTGGCCCCAACGGACGGCTCCGTGTAATCCCCGCTTC